GAAAGCATGGAAGCAGATGCATTGGCCAATCTGGGCTCGTCCACGGAAATGAAGGGATCAGATTATGGTATGGTCGTATAGCTCATGCACTCGGTACTGGATGTGGACGGTTATTATGAAGTAAATACAACTAACCTAGTCTGGGATTGGAGAAATGAAATCATCAACTACCTTGAGCACAGCAAGCTGCCTGAAGACCCGAAGGCATCCCGGGTACTCAGCACCAAAGCAGCTTGTTACAACTTCTAGGGAGGGGCAGTTATATAGAAGGTCATTCCAAGGCCCGTTGGCCCGATGCTTAGGAGCCTCCGAGGCTAATTATATCATGAGAGAGGTTCGCGAACGAATTTGTGAAAATCATTTAGGTGCATATTTGTTGGTGTTAAAATTACTTAGGGTAGGATACTACTGGACCCGGATTGAATAAGACGCTAAGGCATTCGTTCACCGTTATTACACTAACCTGCAGAACTGTTGTATTCGGTATTATCCCCGTGGTCTTTCATGAAATAGGGGATGATAGTCGGACCGCTTCCACCAGCTCCTAGGAAGGTAAGGTTTCTTTTAATTTTAATTGATTACTTCACTAAGTGGGTTGAAGCAGGTACTTATTAGAAAATCGGCAAGCGCAAAATGGTTGATTTCCTATAGGAAAACATAATCTGCCAGTTTGGAATACCAAAGGATATTTCCTGCAACAATGGACAATGGAAGCGTCCAAAGGCAAGTGGCCCGAAGAGTTACCGGGAGTGTTGTGGGCATATCGGATGACGACCAAGTCAAGTACGGGGAAGACACCTTTCTCTCGTATGTGGGCATACCGGACGACGACCAAGTCAAGCACGGGAGAGACACCTTTCTCTCTCGTATACGGAGCAGAAGCTCTGGTCCCGGTGGAAATAGGAAAATCGACCTTGTCGTACCTCCGGGTAGACGAAGAAATAAACAACGAAGCATTGCTAATCAAATTGGAGCTGCTGGACGAATGTAGAGACTTGGCGCACATAAGGATGGTGGCCCCAAAATAAAGTATGGAAAGGTACTATAACCGAAGGGCCAATCTCCTTTATTTCAAAGTGGGAGACTTGGTTTTGAGAAAAGTGAATCAAAACACCCAGGAGCTCAATGCAGGGAAGATGGGTCCGACGTAGGAAGGCCCCTACCAAGTTTAGCTATCACCGGGAAAGGATCATATGAACTAGAAAACCAAGACGGATTCAAATTGCCAATCAACTGGAATGTGACCCACCTCAAAAGATATTATTGCTGATGAGCACCACTTGTACTGAAAGTATGTGCTGCACTTTTTTCCCTTCGCGCAGTTTTTGTCCCAATTGAGTTTTTCTGGCAAGGTTTTTAATGAGGCATCAACGGAAAGCATACTACGAAGTAAACGCCATCAGCAGAAATGAGACCTTTAAATGAAAAGGCATCAAAATAATAAACCACTACGAGATGGTTGAATAATCTTTGGCTCAGTGGCAAATGCCTAATGGGAAGCAAAAGTTGCCACCGGAACAAAGGCTATTCAACCATTTACAAGTGTTTTCCCTACAAGCCACTAGGGAGTGGTTAGATAATCTTTGGTTTGATAGAAAAGTTTCCAACTGGAAATGAAGCTTGCTATTGAACCAAAGGTTATCCAACCATTCACTAGTGGAATCCTCGAAGGAGCAAGACTTCCAGTGTTCCAATTAGCATTCTTCGCGTTCGAACACTAGGGGAATGATATGAGAATACAGAAACCTGATTGCCACAGAAACCGGGATTATAGATCTTGGAACAAATATACCTCATCGGGACCGGGGACTGCACAGCCAGCCCGTAAAAACAAGTTGTACAAATTAGCCACATGTAATGGCAATTTTTTTTCTTTCAGCAAAATGAATGCCTATGTACATTTGAAGACAGAAGGAATGAAATAAAGTCCTTTTATTTTTATCTTGTTTCTTGTTCAAATGATGAATTGATTTTATCATTTGAAAGTTAATCAAGTACTTCAAATGCTAGTGTCGGAATAAACAGGAGACGTCCTCTTCAAGAGCATCGTAAATATAAGAGGACCCTGTCTTATGAAACCCTCACAGTAATAGGTTGGTTCCGGAAGAGTTTATGCCCGGGACCGAAATGCTACTGGGGAAAATGCACCCGAAGCCTTTCATAATTTGATGCAAAAGAATAAACTTTGTGCAATGCTTAAACACAAAGCACTTTTATTTATCAAATGTGCCAAGCAGCACAAGTACAAAAGTACAAAAAGAAAACAACAAACGAAAAGAAAAAGCTAAGCTACGTCGCCACTAGAACTCGGGGGAAGAGAAGCATCAACAACCCCGGGAGAAGTAGGCAGATCTACCGTCGGCTCGGGATCTTGGCCTTCATCATTATTCTCTTCAAGTTCCTCCTCGGTTCCTGATAACTCGGAACAAAAACCAAAAGAATCAGTCGCATCAGGCTGAGCCGGGAGGCGTTTTTGAGCAGTTAACTCCAACTCTCGGACCTTGGCAATCTCATTGTCAATATCAATGACGCCTCCTTTGGCCTCTTCCAAGGTTTTTCTCCTCATGCTATACATAGAATGTGTTTTTTCGATGATGAGGGAATCCGCTTGGGGCTCAAGTTCTGATTTGAGCCTGTTGACCTTGGTCAGTAGGCCATCCCGCTCGGATCTTGTGGCACTAAGGCTAAGATCAAGATCACGGATAATGGTTATATGAACCTTATTATGTTCCATGATCCTCTTATACCTATCCTCCATCTGGGAACGCTTCTCTTCGGCAAAAGCAACCTCTTCAGCTTTGGAGTTCAAAGCCGCCTCCAAGTTATTCACTCTCTCAATGGAGGCAGATTCGTGCTCGGCAGCAGCAAGCACAACATCTAGAACTTCAGGCCACTTAGCCTTAACTTCTTGGAATTGAACATTTAATTGAGAAGCTTCTTAGCTAAGGACTGCTACCTTATTCTTGCTAAGCTGCAGTCGGTCCTCGAGATCACTCGCTTCAGCGGTCTTCGCTTCTAATATCGGGTGCGCATGGTGAGTTGGTCCCTCTCGGCCAATTTTTGATCTCGCTCGGACTTAAGCCCCTCTTTATCGGGGATCAATTTCTGAAGGCCTTCGGAAGCATGGAAGTTGGCCTGCGAAGAAAAAAAACCCAAGTTAAAAAACATGTCACGACAAATCAAGAAAAAACAAGCAATATAAGGGCAAGTTTCGTACTGCTGCCGCATTGTGCGTGTCATTATTTAAAAAACACTCTCCCAAAAGAGAGTATATTTTCTGCTTATCCTTTTCTGAAGCCAACGGCTTCTGATAGTTGGCAAGTTCCACCGTCCGGGATAGCAGGTGGCACTCAGTAGACACTGAGAGGGAGAGATGATCTCGTCCAAGTCACACCTCTATTTGAGGTTATGAAATGGTCGATGCAATAGTAATACCCAACTGAGAGTCAGGGTCGAAGTCCACAGGGAGCTATATGAATGGGATAAAGTAGTATATATTTGGACTAAGCACGTGAAGTATCTAGATTGCACTTCCACAAATATAGTTTTTTTTTTACATCTAAAATTACGCTAAGGATTACAATTCTAATGATATGAAACTAGGGAATATTTTTTTGGATATTTCTCAAATAGTGTAAAAGACCTAGGGCTATGACCTTCACCTAGGTGTTTGTCTAACGGGTTGTAAACTTTAAAGCTTGTTTTGTTGGTCGGAGTGTATTATAGCTATCAACACTCAAGTACCCACTCAATACCTCTCAGTAAGAGAGTAATTTTGCCCAATTGGCTTTCTCAAGTCCAACTGGATATTGAACAAAATAGTTGACAAAATGCTCAAGTCGGGTTTTACTATCTCTAGGTTCAACCCTTTAATTAGGACTATAAATCTCTTGATTTCATCCCAAATCTTGTTAGTCAAGTTTTCCTAGACTAAGTCTCTCTTTCTCAAGTAGGACCACGTCAAATAGGCATGAACTAATATTTGCAATCATTAATTCTACAATAAAAAGCAAGAACAAGGCTAAATAATAAATACCCAACCATAAACAAGCTATAAATTAAACACCCATTAGGTTTGCACACTAGGGTTGGGTCACAACCCTAGTTAAAAATGTAGCTACTCATAATGGGTATAGAAGAAAAGATGATAAAACTCATATTGAAAGATTAAAAGACAAAAATCCAATGTTAAATCACCAAAGTAAGCTAAAGTTGCCTGAAGAAGTAAGGAAAAATGGCTACACGAGTTTCAATATTCAAAACTTGACCTAATTTCGTGAAACAAGTCTATTTATACAAAGCTAGAAATTTCGAACAAAAATGCCCTTTCAGAGGTTCTGCGGCCGCACAATTCCATGTGCGGTCCGCACTTCGCTTGAGTCTTGATAGGCATTGAATCTGCGGCCGCACAATTCTGAAATGCAGCTACATGTCTCATGTTCTGCATCCGCATAAATCCTGGGCCGCACAGGGCCCTTCTGCGGACTGCACAATTCTGAGTGTGGCTGCGTGGCTAAATTCTGCGGCCGCACAATAATTGTGCGGTCTGCATTTCCTTTAGGCCTGAGATGTTAACTCTCTGAACTTTTGCTCTTGGTTAGCTTCTGCAGCCGCGCAATAATTGTGCGGTCCGCACTTTAGTACTCTGATGGATTCCCTTCGCAATCTGCGGCCGCAGATGGAAATCAATGGTCCGCACTTGAGCTTTTGTGCCTGCTTTTTGTCTTTGAGTTCACATTACTCCTTTTTGAGTTGGATTTCATCTTTGGCTCATTTTCTAATACTCCTGCAGTTAAGCATATTTCATCAGTTTTCGGGAATGCAATTAAATATTTTTGGACTAAAACGAAAGCTAAAAGGCGCTAATAAGTAGTCAAAATCCCCACTTATCAAGAGACTCCTCCTCCTCCTCCTCCTCCTCCGGGGATCTGCAGAAGGGGGGAGACGTTTTGCCCCAAATTCCCATGGTCTGGGGACTGGGGAGGAGAGACATCCTCCTCTCAGGCTTCTGCGGCTGGTGGGGATGATGTAGCAGTTGATGGTGATGAAGGTACGACCAGCCTGGAAAGAGATGAAGCTGATGGTGTTTTGGGTTGAGAAGCAGCTGCGGTAGAGGCAGTGTTATTTGTTGGTTGCTCACTAACAGAAGGCGGAAGAAGCCTAGTACTCGGCCTCATAGTACCCGGAATAGCAACTAGGACTGGAAATGGAGAATTGGCATTCTTTACCAAGTCAAATTATTCCAAGAGCTCTTGAGCATCGTCCTCGGTTAGAGCTATGAGTTCTTCAGATTGAGCATTCTGTTGAGCTGATGAAGGTCGTTATCTCATTTGTAGGGAATCCCCTTCTTCACCAGCCCTATCATCGTTGATTACCAACAGTGGTTGCGGCTGGCTCGGGTGCGGCTTTCCTCACTTTCTTATTCTTGCCCTCGGCCGAAGAAGAACGCCTCTTTTTTGGTTTCTGGTTCTCCGATCGGGGACTCCGAGAAGAAGCACTTGCACTGGAGGCAAATCTGATGGCATCTGTTCGGGTGAAAGCCTTCTTCAACTACCTCGCAACTTCTGCGGGATCAACCAAATCGTCCTCCTCAGGATGGTTACAAAGCCCTGCGGGAGACCTGAATTCAACAAGGAAAAAAGAGGGGTGAGGTTAACCAATCCTCCTATATACAAAGATAGAATGAAGACAAAATTAGCTTACTGTGATTCTTGGCCCTCCACCAATACTTAGAGGCCAACTCTTTCCACTAGCGGGTCTCAAGCGTGGTAATGTCTAGAATCTTCTGAACCAACCGGTCCAGGCCTTCAACCCTTCATGGTGTCCACCGAGTTGGTGAAATAATGAAAGGAGAAGGATCAGGAACGACCTGGAACAACATTTCTTAAGAAAAAAATGATAGACTTTGAACTTATGTGTACGAGTCCAGGACTCAAGGCAGGATGGAGTTCTTATAGGATTGAGTACTTTAGCTTGTGTTGATTGTATCGAATTGTTCATGGCTAGATTCGGAGCATCCAGAGGTCGAGTTGAAGGGCAAAGGCATCGCGGAGTAGGATTTTTGGCTTGGTTAAGGTAAGTAACGCTTCCAAACTTGGTTCTGAGGGTTCGAAACCCTGAACTATAGCATATGACGGTATTGAGGTGACGCACTTGCCAAGTGACGGGCGTGCGGGCGTGCACCGTGAAAATTGTGGCCTGGTTCATTCCATGGCACCGCTTAGTGACTCTTTCTTGCTGATATCCTTGTTTCTATCATGTGATTAAGTAAATGTGCAGCAAATCATGCTTGCTATCCTGTTAGGGCTTCATGTCGATACTGTTAAGACCCGAGTGGTCGTTTCTTGTTGTCATGTCATTAGATTCATTGATATTCTGTACTCAGTCTTATTCATGCATATCATATCATGTCTCAGTCTCAGTTATTGTTATTTGGCACATCATATCATGGTTTCGGGCTAGTTTCATGGCATTGTGAGCCCGTGTGTGTGAGATTGTAGAGTGATGACTGGGTGAGGCCGAGAGCTTGATTATGAGTGGTAGTTATGGCATCGGGCTGCATGCCACAACGATTATGTTGACGATTATGATAGCGCTTGGGCTGTAGGAGCCCCTCCGGAGTCTGTAACACACCCCCAGTGAGCGCAGATGATATTTGAGGGATGGATTTCCCTAGACATGGATTTGTCCGAAGCATGATATTTAAGGGATTGATTTCCCTGGACATGGATTTTGTCCGAAGCATTGATATTTGAGGGATGGATTTCCCTGAACATGGATTTGTCCGAAGTATTGATATACCTGGAGATGGATTTCTCCTCAAAGTTGGATTGCCCTTGTTCCTCGGTGCTGGTTGACTTCCAGTCAGTGTTGCATATGCTCCGGGATGGATTTCCCTGGGCCGGATGGCCATATGCGGTACCGAGTGGTTGAGTGCGTATATATATACCTGGAGATGGATTTCTGCTCAGGGTTGGACTGCCTTTCTTCCTTGGTACTGGTTGACTTGCAGTCAATGTTGCATATGTTCCGGGATAGATTTCCCTGGGCCGGATGGCCATATGCAGTACCGAGTGGTTGAGCACTTGAGAGTGGGAGCACATGGTGCATTTCATACATTTTGTGCATGGGTATGTAAAGTTAACTGAGCTTTATATCTCATATTGTTCAGATCTGTATTTATTTTACTGTTGAGTTGTATTCCTGAAAGTATAGCATGCCTACTTTACTGCACCGTTTATTTTTATTTCCTGTTAAGGTTACGTTCGTCACTACCTATCAGTCCATAGGTTGGACTTGTTACTTACTGAGTTGGTGTACTCACGTTACCCCTGCACCTTGTGTGCAGATCCAGGTACTTTCAGTCCCAGTGGCAGTCACTGATCGAGGTTGCAGGCTTGGAAGATTGTTGAGGTATATGCATGGCGTTTGCAGATCTTGACCCTCATTCTCTATTCTAGTGGTGTTTCAGTTGTATTCAGTAAACATTGTAGTAGACTATGTTATTCTCTAGACGCTCATGTACTCCGTGACACCCTAGTTTTGGGCTGGTTGTATCGTATTATGAATTCTACCTTATGTTTTTAAATAGCTTGCTTAAACGATGAAAGTGTTTTTCCGCAAATGTTCTAAATTTTCGTATTGTGGTTTGGATCACGTTGAGTTGAGGCTGGCCTAGTCCCATGTTAGGCTCCATCACAACGTGTTGAGTTTTGGGTCGTGACACCAGCCCACCCCACTGCCATCCTTATCATACACATTGGATCAAACCATTGCCTCTTGCTATATTTTACCATGGCTACATGTGTAATAAAGTATGTAAGTATGTAAAGGAGACAATATATCTTTTACGTATCAAATTCACTTATTTATTTCAAACTGTTACTTCCTCCGTTTCAGTTTATGTGAACCTATTTCCTTTTTGGTCCGTTCCAGAAAGAATGACCCCTTTCCAAAATTGGAAACAATTTAGCCTAAACTTATAATTGTACCTTTAATGAGAAGCTTTTATAACCACACAACTTATCTGGGCCCCTTTTGGACTTGTTTAGAACCACAAATTCCAAAAGTCATCATTTTTTCTTAAACTCCGTGCCCAGTCAAATAGGTTCACTTAAATTGGAACGGAGGGAGTATGAAATATTATATTATATTATATTATATTATGGATGTCTATAACTCCTAAAGAAGTTACTCCCACTACTCTTCTCCATTAACCTCCCACTACTTCTTACCATTATGCTTGTAACTCCCACACCTCCTTGATCTTCCCCCATGATCTCAATAGTTAATACTATGTTCGTGGCATTCCTTTGTATTACCTAAATATCATCCTATAAATAGAGGGTTTGGTCATCACATTTTACACACTTTAATACATAGAAGAAATAAGAATCTCTCATCTCTTACTCCCGACATACTTGTCTATTTTCGTGTTTTATATTATTATTTTGAGCTAAGTTTCTTGACACGTTATCATCACGAGTCACTAACCAAGTGAGAAGATAACTTATTTGATGATGGAATTATGAATGACCGACAACCTTGAATCAATTTGGTTGAGCCTATGGAAATCTGGGCATCTCGTATGCCATATCAATGTTATGTTTGCTTCTATTATACAAGGAGTATCATTTTTCAATTGCCATGAATTCTGCAATTAACTTACATTAATATTTAAGACTTGGTCTAATTTGTGTTACTTAACAATTTAGTTTCATTTGTGCAGGTGTGTGTGTGTGTGTGTGTGTGTGTGTGTGTATATATATATATATATATATATATATATATATATATATATATATATATATATATATATATATGGAGTACCTCTGCTTTCAAGTTGCAAACAAGAGCATATTCCGATGTCTTGACATCATCTCCCATATGTACCCGACAGTTTGCAAGCCAAGATTATGGATTTGTTAATTATTGAGAAGGTTTCTAATTAATCTTATAAATAAAAAGAATTTATATTTATGTTGTGGTCAAAATGAATTTTGTATGACTAAGATAGTTCTATTCCCTTTATATTCCGTGTGGTTGTTCGTGGAAAACATCCATGCGAACTTTTACTAAAGTTCGGGCAAAAATAACTGATCATTAGAAAGTAGTATATCATGATAGACTGAAGGATGAGTCCACTTTGGCTTATTATGCATTGTATGAGAATAAGACATTGGGTTTGATTTCTGGTGCACCATGATGATAAGAGTTGGGTTCGAGTCACAACTCATTATGGCCTAACATGCCTTTATATGGGTAAGGCATTGGGTTTGAGTCCCAATGCACCATATTAATGATATAATGATTACTAAAGAAAAATAATATATTTTTCATGAAAAAGCATGAAGCTTGTCCTACTTGATTTGCTCAATTCTGGAAGTGAATGTGATAGTGGTGCATAATAAGTCTAAATGAAGACAAGTGGTTGACCAATGAACGTGGGTGTGCCAAAGATCAAAATAATAATAGTCATTATTATGGTAATTATAAAAAGGAGAAAAATAAGGGTTCTCAAAATACTCCTTCAAAGGTGAAGAAAATATGTATCAATGTAGTCTATTAATATGAGACACATTCACATGATTATAATTCATTTCTTGAAGATGTGACTTGTAATAAGTATTATAAATGCATACTCATTCCTGAAAGTGAATGTGAAAATATATATATGATACTAGTTATGCATAAGAATGTACTTATGCATGATTGAATAATTACTACAATTTACCTCTACAGGAGGTTTGAGAGAAAGAAAGATAATAAATGTTACTGTGTGGTTACATGAATATGTCATTGGTCGCGTACATGTGTTACACCAAAAATATTTTGCGATGCCTTATAAAAAGTTATTAAAGGCAAAACTTAAAGCAAGAAATGATTTTGCTTATGATGATTTTGACCATGACAATTATTATGTATATGATTTTCTCCGAGAAAGAGACATTCACCGTCACGACCCGGATTTCTCACCGTCGGGACCGTGATGGCGCCTAACTTTTCGGATGCTAGGCAAGCCAACAGATAGATATTTAATACGCTTACCACTGACCAATTCAGTAAATAACAGCAATTTAACCAAAACAGATTAAAGGAGTGCGGAATTTTATAATAATCCAAGTACTTATACACGACTACCCCAAATTTGGTGTCACAGTCCACGAACTTCTAAAAGTCACTACAAATACTGGCTGAAAGAAAATACAACTGTTCTCGAATTTAAAAGAAAACAAAAAACTAAGATAAGTGGAAGAGGACTCCAGGGTCTGCGAACGCCGGCAAATCTACCTTGGGTCTCCTGTTGGACTGAAGGCAGCAGCTCAACTCGGGTCAACACGGTCCGGTACCGAAATTTGCACAAAAAGTATAGAGTGTAGTATCAGTACAACCGACCGCATGTACTGGTAAGTGCAGAGCCTAACCTCGGCGAAGTAGTGACGAAGCTAGGACAAGACACATACATAAACCTGAGCAGTTAAACAATATGCTAATAGAAATAACAATTAGCCGAAAATAAGTAGATATTAATTGGAGGGGAAACATGCTAAGGGGTACCAAAATAAAGAGCCACAACAGTAGAGGAATTTAAACAGCTAGTACACTTTGAACCGGTAATAACAAGTAAACAAGGCAAACGAAAAATGCACGGCATCACCCTTCGTGCTTTTACTCTCAACCTCACCAGATAATCAATAATAGAAACGTGCACGGCATCACCCTTCGTGCTTTACCACTCAACCTCACCATGTGAATAATAGAAATGTGCACGGCATCACCCTTCGTGCTTTATCACTCTTCCTCACCACATAAATAATTGAAATATGCACGGCATCACCCTTCGTGCTTTATCACTCTACCTCACCCAAATAGAGACAACAACAATAGAGAAATAGAAATGGCAACAACAAGTCTTACTTCAACACTTAGTTCCACAATACCAATCTCAACTTAGGGTACCAAATTCCATAAAACATGATAAGAAACATCTCAACACATCAATTAACTAGTTTACACATGAACAATGTGATAAAAAATATAATATTTTCAAGAATAAAGCTCACTCACATGTTATGACTCGACAACAACGTATAGATACTCGTCACCTCACCTATACGTCGTACTCAACATCTAAACACGTAGCAAATAAGCAAATAACATCTAATCCCTCAAGCTAAGGTTAGCCACAACACTTACCTCGCTCATTTGGCCAAACTCAAGGCTCAATCACCACTTTTCCCTTCACACAAGCCTCCAGACCAATAGAATCTAGCAAATTACCAACCAAACAATTCAATTTAAGCCTTAGGAACTACCCATGATAGCAAGGAATTCAATTTAGGCCATTTTTTAAAAAGTCAACAAAAGTCAACACCCGGGCCCGCTTGGTCCAAACCCGAAATTTGGACCAAAACCCGATTGCGAACATGAACCTCAGCTGCAGATGTCGCATTTGCGACCCGAGCTTCACAAATGCGACCATTGCAAATGCGAGGTCCTTCACATCTCTGCTGCCTTCGCAATTACGAACATGAACCTCCGCATATGCGACAAAATGATCGCATTTGCGATCACTGCCCTTTCCAGCTTTACTTCGCAAATGCGAAGGAATCTTCGCAATTGCGAAGACTGTATGGCCCAGCTTCTAATCGCAATTGCGATGGAAGCCTCGCAAATGCGGAACCTGCAGGGTTCGCAATTGCGATGCCTGATCTCGCAAATGCAGGATCAGAGGCCTGCAACAAGTTCAGTCATACCAGCAAAATTTCCTAAGTTCCAAAACACCCCGTAGCCTATCCGAAACTCACCCGAGCCCTCGGGGCTCTAAACCAAACATGCACACAAGTCTTAAAACATCATACGAACTTTCTCGTGGGATCAAGTCGCCAATTTAACACCTAGAAATACGAATTTAGCACCAAATCACATGAAATTCTCAAGAACACTTTGAAATTCCTATTTTCACAACCGGACGCCCAAATCACGTCAAATCAACTCCGTTTTTCACCAAATTTCACAGACATGACATAAATATTATATTGAACCTATATCGGGCTTCAGAACTAAAATACGGGCACGATACCAACGAGATCAAAGATTAATCAAATTCTTTAAACCATAAGATTTTCAGTCTTACAATTTTCATCAAAAATTTATTACTCGGGCTAGGGACCTCCGAATCCAATTTCGAGCATACGCCTAGGTCCCATATTTTACTACGGATTCTCCGGGACCGTCAAAATACGGGTCCGGGTCCGTTTACTCAAAATGTTGACCGAAGTCAACTAAAATCAACTTTTTAGGCCAAAAATTATTATTTCATCAATTTTCAATATAAGAGCTTTCCAGAAACCGGGCGGACTGTGCACGCAAATCGAGGAGGAATAAAATGAGGTTTGAAGGCCTCGGAACACGAAATCGAGTTCTATAACATAAGATGACCTTTTGGGTCATTACATTCACCATATGGATGGTGTAACAAAAGATCTTGTAGTACAAAATCATTTAAGAGCTCTGGAAGAGCTAATTTATTACTACCCGGATGAATGAAATTGTTCATGACATTGATATTGTAGTAAGTCTCAAAAGGAACTTTTTGAGTTTCAAATGTATTAGCCAAAGTGGTTTGACATATTGAGTCTATAAATGAAAGGAAGATTGAATATCTTTATATTACTATAATCATACCAGGTAGATATGAAAGATTACCCAATTTTCCTTCTGTTTGTACTACACAAGTATAAGCATGATGATGAAATCACATGCCACAAGTAAACTAGAGGTTTACTGAAACAAATATTAGTTGGCATGACCGGTTGGCCATCCCAGTTCAATTATGATGCGGAAAAATTAATAGAGAATTCACTTCGGCATATACTGAAGAAATGGAAGATTCTTCAAGAATTCTCTTATGCTGCTTATTCTCATGATATACCAGTTAAGGTTGGGATTGAATCCCTTGATTTCAGGGTGCCCGGCACCAGATCAATATCGAAGTCAATATCCCTGTCCGGTGGCATGCCCGGAAAGTCTGCAAGAAACACATCCAAAAAATCCCTCACCACCGGAACTAAATCAATAGTATGAGTCTCTACACCGACGTCCCTCACAAAAGCCAAATAAGAAAGACAACCCTTCCCAACCATCTGTTGGGCCTTTAAGAATGAAATCACTCTACTGGGAACATAGTCCAAAGAGCCTCGCCACTCGATCCGTGGCAACCCTAGCATAGCCAATGTCACAGTGTTTGCGTGACAATCTAGAACAACATGACACGGAGACAACCAGTCCATACCCAAGATCACATCGAAGTCCACCATACCGAGCAACAACAGATCAACACTAGTTTCCAATTCACCCACAGTCACCACACACGACCGATATACACGGTCCACAATAATAGTATCGCCCACCGGGGTAGATACACGAACATATGAAACGAAAGACTCACGGGGGCATATCCAAATAATTAGCAAAATACGATGACACATATGAATAAGTGCAACCAAGATCAAATAATACAGAGGCATCCATGTGGCAAACTAAGACAATACGTGTAATCACTGCATCTGAAGCAATAGCATCTGGTCTGGAAGGAAGTGCATAGAAATAGGCCTGACCGCCATCTGGTCGGCCTCCCCCTCTAGGGCGACCCCTAGCTGACTGAGCTCCGCCTCAAGCTGGTTGGGCGGGTGGTGAAGTAACTGGTGCTGAAGCCGAAGGTTGACTCCTCTGCTAGGACGAACATCGCGTAAGGCGGGGACAAAACCTTTTGATATGACACAAGGCGAGGAGCCCCGAGCATTGGGATACCCACTAGTAGAACCAGGCATAGATGAGCCTTGAGTTGATGGTGCATGAGACGAACTCTGAGTTGGAAGGGCACT